AAAAACAATTTATAACTATTATAAGCAGCCTGGAAGATTATGTAGAATACATTGAGACAAATCAAATAAAACATTCTTCTATCTCTAACAGCTTTATCAATATAAGTCCTCCCACGTTGTTTTTTTTGTTTGATGCAGCAGAAACAAAACTACATTACAGTTACTGAAAGCAACAGAAACTATATGTTCTTTCATGTATAGGAAAAGTTGTCTTGTAAAGTTAAGGGTTTAACACTTAATTTGTATTTGTATGCGATAAACATACAATACAATAAGACGTATTTTACATATATTTTGTATATATAAATTTAAGTTACTATCAATTATTAATACATTTTATATTTTAGATAAAAATTAAAAACATTGCTTTGAATAACAATTTGAATTTAAAAAAAAACAATCAAATACATTTTATTACCTCCCTCGTTGATGGATTCCATCAGTATCAGATCTTAACCAAGACCGATTTACTTGGTTGTTTTGCGCTTAGTTAAGATTGATTGAAAGCAGATGTTACACGGGGGAGGGGGATGTAGTCTGGCCGCCTAGTCGAGGTTAAGAAAATACAGTGCTACACGACTTTACATACAAATTGAACTGCGGTGTACTTTGTAAATGTGACACAGCTAGTTCAGTAAAGAGCTGGGTCTCTCAACGCCATCACTAAAAATACTAAAATGACAGTTCGAAATATTTAATCTAACTAATATTCAATTATTAAAAAAATACTTAGATTACTTATGGGACGGAGTGGCCTAAGCGGTAAAGCGCTAGGCTGCTCACACAAAAGTTTTGGATTCGAATTCGGGTCCAGGTCAGTAGAGAAAAAAACATTTAGTCTACCCAGCTCTAATAGGGCTGGTAAGTTGGTCACCAACCAGTTCTATGGCTCATAAAGGTTTTATTGAGCTGAAGAACTGGTTGGTGACCTCCTTACCAGCCCTATGGGTACCTAACTCATGTTGCGGAATGTACAGGCTACTGGGCAAAGTGCTGACCACACCTTCCATTCATTTGCCGAGGTCAAGAAAAATATGAACTGTACTTCATCTGCCAAATGGGTCGCTAGGTCTGAAGATGATTCTTTACGTTTTTTTTTTACTTAGATTATTTAGATCAAACCTCGCGTGCGCTTAAAATAATAAAATATATTATGCAAGTGCAAAGTAGAAAATCTATGCCTTTGTCACGAATGTATCCGCATTCCAATAATTCTATAAAATGTATTTCATTCCCAGGCAATGAACTAAATGTGTGAAATATGCATTTTAAGATTCTTTGTATATAATGTATAATAATAGGATAATGCAGCCGTTGTATAAGCTTTAATACACTAGTTTTATTCCACTCTTCAATGGTGAAATGTTTTATTTTCTGCGAAAACCAAGTTGACAATTTAAGTATGTTTATATTTAGTTAAATTTCAAAGTTAACTTAAAAGATGTCAGATAGAATAAAATAACATAAAAAATAGATAAATTAAATAATTAGTTATTGTTGATCAAACAGTTAAGCCAGTTTATGCGAATGTTGAAAAACCAATCATACAGCAAAGTTCGGCGCTAATAACAGGCAGAAAAAACTTGTGTAGAGTGAAATTGATAAAGGGAACAATTGCGACATTATGTTTGGATCTCAAGCCCTTGTTGCAGATCATCATCATCAACATCATTTCCCGTTCGTGCAGATGAAGTAGAGTTGTGGTCAGCACTATGCCTAGCCTATGTTTCCCTAACGTTGGATGGACTCATGGACTCTCTATCACTAGGCCTCGCCGTCCCGGTTACAGATCAGTTTCACTAAATAATTGAGTGCAGGCGATTCTAGTATAAATAGATGCATTATTTTAATCAACAATTACTCTATGTCTAATATTATCTGCATATAAAGAAAGAATCATATAGGCAACTTATATATAAGTGGCGGTCAAGAAAGAACAAAAATAGTTTTAAAACAAAGGGATACTTAGATACTAACTTTCTGTTGTATTTTAACATAATTAAAAAGAAGAAAAGAATACAATGTATTTATGTCATAAAGACTTTGATAATGACAAGTATTCCTCAATGTCAGTCGATTAAGATCTAATATTTGTTTAGACGTGATCCCAAAAAAAAAAACAGATGTTAAGTTTTAAAAACAATTTAAAATTTTAAAGTTAACATGGAAAACTTAGGTGTCATCAAATTGTTAATTGCTTTTGATGATTGATTGAGATCTAACAAGTTTAAGTTTTTATCCTCCCTAAAAATTAAGAACGAAGAAGAAGAAGATTGTCCCTAATAGTAAAGGGATTCAAAATATGTGTACCACATCTAGATTTTAAATCAACACGATTTTTAAAAAATTATTTTATTACACAAATATTTGTTAAGTGCATGGTTTTAGATGTGATTTATAAATACTCTGTGATCAATATAAAATTGTGTAAACGTTAAGTAAATAAGGTTTTCTAAATATATTATGCACACCGGCCTACGTTATATTTATATTCATAAACGAAAGCATTTATTTTCGATAAACAAGTTGAGAAATAGGAAGATAGTTTTTAAGGATATATACCACAGATGATTTTTTAGCGCAATTTCCATTCTGGAGAATTGCGTTTATTAACTCGTCTTTTCTGGGAATGGATGGATGGATGGATGGTTGTGTGTCCGCAGCTTTAAGTCGTATCTCCTCCTCAACGAAGCAATATCGAGGACTAGTTCCAAAAGCAATTATGTTAAGCAAGTTACGAGGATGAACATAGGCCATAAAAATTCCGGGTTTCTTTCATGGATTTCCCGGAAAAGCCAAAAAAACTCGAAAAAATGCAGTTTTTGGCCCATATCTTGGCAACCAGACCACTTAGCGACTTGAAACATGTACCAATCGATTTCTGCTATAATTTAGAACAATATTGCCGAAGAAAGTTTTCAAAAATATCCTTTCGTTTGGTCACAAAAAAATTTTTGAATTAATTAAAATTCGGACCGAATTAGTAGGCATTTTATGCAACCACACCACACGCGTCATCACGTTCAATAGCTGCGCCATCACGTTCAATGGCTGCGACGTCACGTTCGGTAGCTGGGCGCGCAATGGTTTTTAGTCATGTTACTCTATTGTAAATAAAACATGTAAAATACTGAAAAAAAAATTAATAAAAAACGTTTTAATAACTAACCAATGGTTTTACTAACCCTGATCTTGATTTACGCTACGACAGAGCTATTTTTAGATAACACAAGGAAATTGCGCTAAAATTGTCACTAGACTTTTTTTAGTTACTTGTTTTAGTTTACGTGTTTCTGGGTGCTTAATAAATTCATATTTTAATAGCTGTCAACCTATAGGCAAAAATAGTATTTCCCTTATAATACGTACATCACTGTTTCAATTTCTTGTATATGAAGTCTCCGCCAAGGGAGGATTACTGTGTTCTGTCATTTCTTTTCACTTAGTTCACATCGGTAGGAAGTAGAAGCGTACATGGGGTGGAGAGGAGAGGGGGGGGGGGGGGTTCTCGCCGACTTGGGCGCCGATCCACAGGGAGCGCCATGTAGGCTACAAAAATGAGTGAAAGTAAGTTCTTTAGTTCGTGGCTTTAGACACTCTGACAGCTGTTGATATTTACATGGAGGTCCATGGGCCAATTCTGCACACAGACACATCTAGTACATACAAGTTGAGCAGTGGCGGAAATAGAAAATAAGGCTCTCCCGCAAAAACAAAATTTAGGCCCAATATATATATATATATATATATATATATATATATATATATATATATATATATATATATATATATATATATATATATATATATATATATATATATATATATATATATATATATATATATATATATATATATATATAATATATATATATATATATATATATAAACTTATTTAGAACCCGAAGCTATCGTGATGTCTGTGTTGCATTTCAAGTTGTTCGGAAATTGTGAAAAGAAAAATGTTATATCAGGTAAGCTGGTAAAAAATATATAAATACGTAAGGTTGATTTTTCTTATGCTTTTTTTGAATTTTTTTTAATGGTTTGTTTTTGTATGTTTATTATTAATTTTGAATACCTTCATTTTAATAACTATGCTATTCTTTAATATGTCTTATTTTGATAATAATTAAAAGATGAAATTGCTTTTTAATTTACTTAGTACAAAACTATTTTAAAGAGCTTTATTTATTAGACTAAGAAGGGCAGTAAGTCATAAAAGCAGTGGGAGCGTTTACCTAATTTTCACTCTATAGCTCATGTAGATTTTTAAAATATACTAGACTACCCGTTATTCTTGAAATTCTGGGGTCATATCAAATGACGTCACGTTTGTTTGACGATTTTTATCTTTCCTCTTTCCTCCCCACTATCAAAGAACTTTTAAAAAAGCCAAACCCCACATACAAAAAGACATCACACCTCAGACATGTTTTTGTCTTTTAAAAAACCCATCGATTTCAACTGAGCATGGGTCTGACCACACTATCCTTTCATATGCTAAGATCACAGAAACAGGTGAACTCTACTTTAACCTGCGCATTGTCCCGCCAAGTCTCGAAAGGCAACTTTATCATTCACATCTAAAAAAAAGAACATTATTCTCTACATAGATACATATTTTACTGCTCTACACATAGTGTAGATGCTCTCATGTAACCAAAGAGACAAACAAACAAAAAACACAAACATGTAAACAAAGGAGACTTTTAGTAGAATATAGATTTCTACACAATAATGTATGTTTGTTTCGCGGCTGTAGCATATCAGTTTTTTCTTTTACAAAACAATGTGCACAAAAAACATTATTTACGAAAAGAAAATTCATTTTTTTTGTTGTTGTCGGAATTGGGTCCCCAGAACGATTCCTTTTCCCCCTCCCCCCATCTACCACGCATTGCGGGGTCAAGCGGCATGGTTGTTCCGCCTCTGAGTCGCAGGCTGGGAAAACCGTTCTTATCTGTTCTCTGTTAAATACTATTTAACCAGGTCAACATGGTATTACGTAAAGGGCAAGCAGATCTTGTGTACACAATCATCTTTTCAAATGTTTTGTTTTGGGACTATTCTCGTCTTCTTGGGTGAGTTTTGATGTATCCTGTAACACATTTGGCTCTTAACGATTGACACTGGAATCATTGAACACGTAACTTACAGAGTAGTGTTGGGTTATGGGCTTTAGATGTTTTGATGCATTGGTGGAAGAATGGGTGGGGTTGCCACATGACGTGAATTTATTTGATATTATTACAATTAAGGTTTACATTTTTGACAGGTGCTAGGTAAGCTTTGCATACCGCCTCGTTGAATTTGGCTAGTGGTGTCTGATTTTTTTGGACTTCGTTTTGTTGATTAGACCTTGGTAAAGAAGACTTTTTTGAGCACAAAAAAAATATTTAAAAAAAGTTTTTGATAAAATGTTTTGTATTTAATATCTGTAGGTGATTATAGTATTCCATAAACAACGTCAATTATGTTACAACAATATTTAATTTCGATTAAGAAAATAATTTTCAACTTGAAACCCCCGCTCAAAAAAACAAACCAGTGTAGATGGGCTTTGTTGGCATGTGGGGTGGCTGTCTCAAAAATTGCTGACTTCTCTTTCCAAATTTCTCAATTTCTTCCCCACCAAACGCGCACAATAAACAACCCCCCTCCTCCACAACAACCACACACACACCAGCAAAGACACACTAGGAATTTGTTGGTCAAACAATAGCCCTCTATACTAAAACCATGAGATGACTTTCAAGAGTTAAAAACAGGTGCTAAACCCCACCATTTTGTGTAGTGTTATAGAACAAAAAATGTAACTACTATTTTTATACTTTTTAATTTACCTTACATAAACTGGTTAAAGTATATTTTTAGTGATTCTTTTTAACTAAATGTTAGGTTTTGGAAGGGAGAATGTTACGTAGGTTAAAAGGATTTAGTTAACGATCCTATAAACATCAAAGTGATATAGACTTACAGTTTTAGTGCTTTTAAAAAAATATAAAATTGAGGTAAAATAAAACGTTATCATAATTCTTTCCCCGTATTCACCTAAGTAAACAATTGCTTATTATATTTGTTTCTGTCTTACCTGGTATAAGAACAAATTTAAAAAAAAATATATTTTACTTCTCTATTCATTTTGTTTAGCTGCAGCGTCAGCCTTCCTTTGTCCAGCGCAGGCGGACCTCCCCAGCTGTACCCCTGAGATGCTCCAGTCCGCCGTCATGCGCTGCTACGCCACCCACAACATTCCCGTCGACGAGTTCCAGAGAAACATCTCCAACAACTGGGTCATCACCACCAACGCCGCCTACTACAAGAACCTCTGCAACAGCCAACAAAACTACACCGACGCCGGCGCCTGCGTGGCTGCCGAGTACGACCGCTGCTACATGTTGGACATGGTGCCCAGCGTCGACGACCCGACCAGGTTCGCCTACTGCGATGACCCCCTGTTCAGCTTCACCTGCGTGGCCACGACTGACCATCACTACGTGGCCGTCAGTAACTGTGTTACAGAGAAAATAAACGCCTCGCTTCACGTTACACCGACGCCATCCGTCAATGACGACATCTGCAACAGTTTACGTATTGGCAACGAGTGTTATGTGGCTGAACTACAAAAATGCGACGCGTACACCGCTAATGTAATAAACTCCACAATGAGCCGATCTCTGCCTCCTATTTGCTATCCGTCTAGCAATGTTATAGTGGGATAAAGTCATGTATTATTTGCTGTGAAATAAAACTAACTAAACAAATTATGATGTCTTAAATTATTAATATAAATTTCTAAATATTGTAATATTAAAATCAGTTTGTAAAATAATTACGTGATGCAGATAAAGATATAAAATATTTAGAACTCAACTTATGTTGTAAAGTTATGAAATAAATAACAGTAACTACATTTGCCTGTTACGGTTAGCAGAAGAGTGGATAGGCCAATCTAAAATTTATTTGTGGTTTTTTTTTCCTGCCTGAAACAAATTAAACTACATTAGCAAAAAATATGCCTTAATGTAAGGGAATGTAGCCAAACTATTTGGAATTTTGTCAAAAATAGTGCATGAGTTGTTTCCCTTAAATTTAAAACTTATTCGAATAAAAAAGTTTGCTACATAATTTTTAATTAACGTTTGAACACTGTCCGGATAAGGACCGGTCTATGAAAAACTTACAGCAATTGCTTTGTATTGCAAAACTTATCCAGTCCATGACTTAATCCATCTTGCAGTAAAATTCATAAAAGACGAAAAGATCGTACTATGAGCTTAATACGATAGCCCTATAATATATTCTAACTATTAATAGCGTGGGTTATAATTGTCCATGCACACATCTAAAGGTAATTTTCAAATATTAAAATAAAATTCACATTCCAACCTTATTTAGTGTACGAATAATTAAAAAAAACAATGAGAATGGTAAACATTTCATTTGTTTTACTATGAAACAGAACAGTGTAGTGAATTGCAGGGAGACCTTAACACGGCGTAATTAAGTTGAAGCAGACATTGTGACTTAAGTCAAAGCATAAGCAAGCAGATTTTAATTTACAAGCTAAATTGTAAAACTTTGTTTTAAAAATTGTATTGTATTGTATTGTATTGTATTGTATTGTATTGTATTGTATTGTATTGTATTGTATTGTATTGTATTGTATTGTATTGTATTGTATTGTATTGTATTGTATTGTATTGTATTGTATTGTATTGTATTGTATTGTATTGTATTGTATTGTATTGTATTGTATTGTATTGTATTGTATTGTATTGTATTGTATTGTATTGTATTGTATTGTATTGTATTGTATTGTATTGTATTGTATTGTATTGTATTGTATTGTATTGTATTGTATTGTATTGTATTGTATTGTATTGTATTGTATTGTATTGTATTGTATTGTATTGTATTGTATTGTATTGTATTGTATTGTATTGTATTGTATTGTATTGTATTGTATTGTATTGTATTGTATTGTATTGTATTGTATTGTATTGTATTGTATTGTATTGTATTGTATTGTATTGTATTGTATTGTATTGTATTGTATTGTATTGTATTGTATTGTATTGTATTGTATTGTATTGTATTGTATTGTATTGTATTGTATTGTATTGTATTGTATTGTATTGTATTGTATTGTATTGTATTGTATTGTATTGTATTGTATTGTATTGTATTGTATTGTATTGTATTGTATTGTATTGTATTGTATTGTATTGTATTGTATTGTATTGTATTGTATTGTATTGTATTGTATTGTATTGTATTGTATTGTATTGTATTGTATTGTATTGTATTGTATTGTATTGTATTGTATTGTATTGTATTGTATTGTATTGTATTGTATTGTATTGTATTGTATTGTATTGTATTGCATTGCATTGCATTGCATTGCATTGCATTGCATTGCATTGCATTGTATTGTATTGTATTGCATTGCATTGCATTGCATTGCATTGCATTGCATTGCATTGCATTGCATTGCATTGTATTGTATTGTATTGTATTGTATTGTATTGTATTGTATTGTATTGTATTGTATCGTATTGTATTGTATCGTATCGTATCGTATCGTATCGTATCGTATCGTATCGTATCGTATCGTATCGTATCGTATCGTATCGTATCGTATCGTATCGCATCGTATCGCATCGTATCGCATCGCATCGTATCGTATCGCATCGCATCGCATCGCATCGCATCGCATCGCATCGCATCGCAACGCATCGCATCGCATCGCATCGCATTGCATTGCATTGCATTGCATTGCATTGCATTGCATTGCATTGCATTGCATTGCATTGCATTGCATTGCATTGCATTGCATTGCATTGCATTGCATCGCATTGCATCGCATCGCATTGCATCGCCTCGCATTGCATCGCATTGCATTGCATTGCATTGCATTGCATTGCATTGCATTGCATTGCATTGCATTGCATTGCATTGCATGCATTGCATTGCATTGCATTGCATTGCATTGCATTGCATTGCATTGTATTGTATTGTATTGTATTGTATTGTATTGCATTGTATTGCACCCCCGGCGAATAACTATTGAAAGAAAGACACTCTAAAAATATAGAAAATACGTAGGTATTTAATCTTGAAAGGTTTATAAACGTAAACGAGTAAAATAAAATATACATACATTTAACACTAAATCTTAAATTTGATAAAGAAACAACCTAACAATAAAAACTGAGTTTTCTATTTCATTAGAAGATTCGAAAAATAATTATTTTTTTTACAAAACCACGTTAATGCTTGCTTTTATCTTCTGCAATTATTTCTTTCATGCTTTTCACCCCTCCTCAGTAAATGTCTGAAAGTAGCCCTGTTTAAAAATCAATGTAACGTATTTATTTATTTATTTATTACACATTCGAACAGTTCTAATGCTCGTATAGTATGATAATTCATTGTAAATTTTTTGTAGACTTTTAATTGTATCTACTACACTAAGTCAAAGCGTATACAAACATTAGGTTGACTATGATATTGCGAATAATTTTACAATATTTATTATTTAAAATTCGAATTCTAGTAGTTCAAATATTATTCTAGTCCAGGGGTCGACAACTACGGCTCGCGAGCCGCATGCGGCTCTTTTGATGTCAAGGTGCGGCTCTTCAGCTCCATGCACAAATATTAATAATTATTTTATTTTCAAAGCGCATACAAATATTATTCTACAACACACGGTAATAAACACTACAATAATAAATATAAATAGTAAACACTCGCTATTCTATTCTTTAGTTACTCCCTATTTCAATGTACTTCCTTGCTTTCTAAAACTGAGTTATTTAAATGTAAACAACGCCTGTGCTTGGATCATATTCATCAGGACACATGTTTACCTACAATACCACCCAACACGCTACGTAATATCACCGTTAATCCCTCTCCGCCTAATTGTCAGGGATGGAAAGTGGCACTCTCGTGAACCAGATTCCACTATCGTTGGGCACCACGTACAGGCCCCCCCCCCCCACCTAGCTCGGTTTAATCATCGAATGTCGTGTGCCGCATTATCAATATTGTAGGGTGCTCCTTAAAAATAAAGTTTGCGCGTAGTGCTCACGAGATAGCCCTGGGTGCCAAATTGCACCCTGCAGAGACGCCGGAGGACGCGCCTGATTTGATTTAGTTAGCGACTACAGCAACTCATTGTATCGTAAATGAACGTAGGCGCCATGGTGCTCACAGGTAAGCCCGGGGCTACAAATCACCACCTGCCTGATTCGATTAAGTCAACGATGATTGTTGACAATCGTGTCCTTAGTATATAGCCTTTTTGCAAACAAACGTAGGCGCCACATTGCTCACAGGTGAGCCTGGGGCTCTTCGGGTCGCACAATCGACGTGGTGCCGGCGGCTGTGCCTGTTGCAGTTTTGCTGCTGAATATATTAGTACCCCTTACCCGCTCTGGAACTCTGGGGCGCCAAACCGTGTATTGACAAAAATCGCACCCTCCCGTGTGCTACCCAACAGAAATGTTTTTTCGCAGAAATATTCTCGGGAGTATTCTCATTAACTCTCCAAAGTTTCATGGCAGTCGGATTGAGGGTGTCGAACCACACCCGACTTTTATTTTTTATATAACATATATAGAGAAAAATCGCACCCTCCGGGGCGCCGCCCTTACGAAATTAAAACAGGAGTTTTTACAGAAACCTCCCCAGGAGTGCTTTAATCAACTCCCCAAAGTGTTGATGGCGATCGGATGAACGGAGTCAATCAGCAATCGACTTTTAATTTTATAAATCGAATCGCTCCCTGCGAATTATAAGAATATAATAAATGAAATCAAAATGTTAGTGGCTCTCTGAAAGCTGGGAAATTTTGTAAATTGTAACTTTTGGCTCTTCTGTCTCAAAAGGTTGCCGACCCCTGTCCTAGTCAATACAATAGATTACAGATAAAAATAATTAAAACAATAAAAATTTTAAGTGATATCTTAATAGGATAAGCTCGACTGAAAACAGTAAAACATTTTGACTTAAGAAGACGGGTGATGTTGGTTGAATTGGGGTTGTATGTCAGACCATTAAAGCAGTCCATCCCAAATTTTGTATGTTTTTCGGAAACGGATGAACAGTATGACACGTCGCTCAAACCTTCAAAAGTATTCCCGGGTTTATGCACTAAAACAGTTTCTCTGTGGATCAGCTTGGAGAAATTTACAAAGTGTGACTCTCGACACAGCTTGGCAAGGCGGTGACAATGACGTTCATATTTCCCAGAGTCTGTATTAAAACATTTCATCTGGTATTCTTTGAGAGACGCCACGACCAACAGTAACTGACGGTCGATGTCTTTGATGAACGTTTCGTGTTTACTTTGGTATATCCAAAGACTAGCAACAGCCAAGATTGCATTCGTTCTTACTGCAACGAAAAAAAATGTTTCCTCTCTCACCCTAACTTCTAGGTCAGGGATAGTGAGCAGTAAGCACACGAATAACTCTGATAGACGCAGGTTGGGTGATAAACAAAGTCCAAACTCTGAAATGTTGAGTGCAATTTCTAAAGCCCACGGCATTTTACAGATCCCGCCTGGACCCATGACAAGTCCCTTTGGACAGCTTTCGATTTTGCACGTATTTCTACCATCACTGATAACTTGATCCAACTGAATACTACTACCAAGTGGACACGAAGCTTCGTACCAATCGATGGGATATTTTTGTTTCAATCTCAAAACCAACGTAGTTGGATTTCGTAAATAAAATAATATTTCAAAAGAT